CGCCTCCAAGCCCCGCCTTCTCCCCGCGGAGCCAATCAGCGCGCTCCGCGGGGCAGCGGGCCCCGGAATATTCCAGGCTCTTCTCCTTCCGTTCTGCCCCGGAGCTTTCTAGAACCAATCACCGCCCAGGGCTCGCCCCTGGCCGGGACTCCGCAGTCATTTCTGGGACGTGCGGGCGGGGCGCGTGGTAGGAGGAGCAGGGGCGTGGCCCCGCGCGCGCGCGCGCCCCCGGAGCACCACGCCCTGGCCTGGGCGTTGCCGGCGGCCGTTTGGGTAGGGCGGGCCGGGCGGCCCCCGGCTGGGAATTGCAGGACGGGGAGGCCCGCGGGACTCAGACGAGTGTGGTAGTTTAAGGTGGGATGCAGCGCCCCCGGCCCGCCAGTTGGGAAAGCAAGGTTTTGAGATTCTCCGAGGAGGCGGGGTGTGGGGGAGCCCGACGTCTGCGTCCGGGGAGGGTCACCTCCACCCCGACCCCCTGTCGGTTTCCAGAGGGAAAGGATAATACTTCTTTAATTGTGCTAAAATTCTGCATGACAAAACCCTTGCTAAGTGAGCGTTTTTTACACGCAGACTTCGGTGGCGAGAGTTATGATCGTCCTGTTGTGCCACCTTTTACAAACCACAGGTTTCCAAAAGTTTTCCACCGTCCGTTAACAGAAACCCGTGCCCGCTCTGCCACCATTTCCTCATCCTCTGTCTGCCCTCCTCGCTCGGGTAACTACTTCGGTCTCCCTCTCCTACTTGCCTATGCTAGCTAGTTCTTGCCACTGCGATCGCATCCTGTTGGACGCTTTTCAACTGAGGTACTCAATCAGCATTGTGTGTTTCAGGTGCGTGGTGGCGCGGTCGTTGAGCACTCAGTCAAAGGTTGGTGGTTCAAATCCACCAGCCTGCTCTGAGAAGGAAAGATGTAGCCGTCTGACTCCTTTAATGTGCAGCATTCAAGACCCTGTGGGGACGGGGTCTCCTCGCCCCTGAAGAGTCCATAGGAGTTGAACGGACTCCATGTCAGTGCAGTCTACTACCCCTTGTCCACTTCTTGACATCCTCTGTCACCTGTGCTGAAGGAAAAGGTGGGCCGAGGGAGGGTGGTGACTTTGCACCTGCAAAGCAAGTAGACACACAGGCTATTAAAAAACGATGTAGGCAGCTGAAGGCAGGGACTCCTTCGATCTCGCTGGGCGAGAAGGGCAGGGCAGAGTCCTCAGTACCCTGCCCCACCCACGGCTGCTCCCCTTTGCCTCCGGCTCAGATTAGGTTTGGGTAGAGAAAAGCTTTCCATAGTAAGTAGAAAGCCTTGTGATTTCTCTTTTTCTCTCAAAATTCCCAGCCTGTGGGGTTGGGCTGCCATCCTCCCGTTCTCTCACGTCCTCTGCCCTCGCGCACGGGACGAGGGTCCGCTTTGGAATTCCAATTTGATATTGCGACGACCCCCCAAGACTGTCCACATATTTAGGTGGGCCTTCAAGGGGTGGGGTGGGGCTGATGTCCATTCTTCAAACATGCTACAGCTGGTGGGAAGGTGGTCTGGTGGCGGAAAACCCAGTAGCAGTGGGGCTGCAAAGTGGTAGGGGTTGACCAGACTGGCTCTAATTCACGCCTCCCAGATCTCAGGTTGTTAGTTGTGAATTTGATTCATGCACTTAGTCGTTTTAGCCCAGTGAATCTCCCTCCCTCCCTCCTGTTTTAAATACAGTTACATTTGGGGATTTCTTTTTGCTTTTCTTCTTCGTTCTTTGTGAAACTGTTAGACTTTTATTAGATACCAGAAATGAAAATGTGAGGGACATTAAAACAGTCGTACTAGTTTCACCAGCCACAACAATATAGATGCAATCCTTTACCCACAATGTTTTGTGCCCAGAAAATCTAAGGTCACAAGTTGGGGGTGACCGTTTGGGATGGAGAAAGGAAATCCTGCCTTTGAACACTTGGCTGACTTGGCATCATTCTGTAACACTCACAAACATTGACCTGTCCGCTATCAAAACATCTCGCCAAGGAAGCCAAAGGTATTCGGTTGTTTATTGTATATATATTGCTGAACCTGATCTAAACTGATTTTACAAAGAACTTGCTCTAACAATCCTGTGTGTGTGTGTGTGTGTGTGTGTGTGTGTGTGTGTGTGTGTGTGTGTGCAGATAGGCCATAACTTTGCATTCAGTGTAGTTCCCTGATGACTCACCTCCTAATCCAGTCAAACTGGTCAAACTTGAGGAGTTTTCCATTTCTCTCCATGCAGTCTCGTGGTAGGCATTGCACCAATTTTCATCCCAGCTCCCTGTTGTTTCAATCCTTCTAGAGGTGCTTAAACCCCTTGATCTACTAGCGGGAGTCCTGAATTCATTTCTTCCTTTTCAAATCTGCAATTTAGGAAACAAGTACTATTGGCTTGAGTTTATCGAAGTAGCCGGCTGTCCACTGTGTGACAGGGGAAGGTGGTAGTAGATCCTCGAATCCCTTTGTCAAATCCCTTTTTTTCTTCCCTAATGCTTGCTTCCATGAATCAGTCAGCAACACACTGTGATCAGAATCTACAGTTATATTAATTATATTATTATAGCTAGCCAGCCTTTTGGGTTAAATCTCCTAAACATCTTCTATATTCCATTTCCATTTCTTAATAAAGAGAGTTGCCTGAATTTTACCCTTCCTTCTAGACCAGGTGTCTCCTGTTATTCAATGAATTGTGGCCCTCGATTAGTGTTGCAATTCCTAATCTCTGCGCCTGTGGTTAAAGGGACCTGGTGGTATAGTTGGGTATACGTGGGGCTGCTAACTGCGAGGTCAATGGTTCAAACCCACCAGCCACTCTGTCGAAGACAGATGATGTTATCTACTCCTGAACGGATTTACCGTCTCAGAAACCCTTAGGAGCAGGTCTTCTCCGTCCACTAGGCTCTCTGTAGATTGGACTGGACTTGGTGGCAAGGACCTGGACGGTTCTAATCCCATTTGGGGAGGGGTTATCTTTGTTATGTTGAGGCATGATTAGTCTATCTTGAGTTCATCTCATTGGAATTATAGACCCCAAACCCCGCTGCCGTCAAGTCAATGTGGGCTCACAGTGACCCTAGAGGACAGGGCAGAACTGCTCTGTAGCGGCTCTGAGACGGCACATCTGTATGGAGCCAGGCAACCTCATCGCTCTCCTGCCAAGGTGCTGGTGAGCTTAAAGTGCAAGCCAACGCGTATCCCCAAACAAGTCGCCAGCTAAGGAGGGATGGGAGGGGGGCCACGCCAAGGCAGATGAAGACCGTTTAGGAGCGGAAGCTTCGAAGAGACTTGGACCTTCCTCCCAAGATGACGGGGAGAAAAAGCCTTGCCCTAGAGCATCCTGACTTTAATCTTCTAGCTTCCTAAACGATGAGAACGCAGGGGTGTGTGTGTGTGTGTGTGTGTGTGTGTGTGTGTGTGTGTGTGGAAGCCATCCACCGCGGCACTGTTAGTGCTGCTCTAACCGCTTCTATGACTACGGCTCACTGCTATGGAGTCCACGCTGGCTCACAGCAACCCTACAGGATGGGAGAAGGGCCCCTGTGCGGTTCAGTTACGGGAGTCGATAGCTTTGTCCTTCTCCGGAGGAGCTCCCGGTGGTTTCAAACCGCTGACCTTGCCGATTGCAGCTCAATGCGTAACCGCTAGGCCACCAGGGCTCCTTAGTAAAATGGAATCTGATACCTGAAAAGCAGGGTGCTGCTCTAGTAGATACCTAAAGCGTGGACGTGGTTTCGGCATCGGGTCGTGGGGTAGAGGCCGGAGGAGTTTTGCGTTTCCTTTTGAAATTGATTTCCTTGTGTTTGTTTTGGTGTTCAGGGACTCTTCGAGAATGTCTTTTTTCTTTCCTTTTTTACTTTCTTTTCCATTTCATTTCATGTATCTTGTTGATGAGAACATACACTCAGCAGAGCACACACCAGGTTTCCAATTCAGTTGTTATTCTTGTACAGCGTGCTTTCGTGGATTACATTCTTCACGTTAGACAATCGTGCTCACCCTCCTCCTATGCGCTGTTCCTCCCTCCTCAGCATCAGCTCCCTACCCGAAGGTCCCGGCTCACTCAGGAGTTGCTGTTGACTTTCATTCCACATCGAGGGTCCGTGGGAGGCCTGTTGGTGCTGCTGACGGCAGGTCAGCGATGCAAGTGGCCAGCTGCTCCAGGGGAGAACGATGTGTCTGTCTGCTCCCACAGGACTGACCGTCTCGGAAACCCCACAGAGGGTGGTTATGAGTCAGAAGCTTCTCGATGGCAGGGGTAGGTCATTCCCAAGAGAGTAGAAGGCCCAAGGCGTCAGACCTCTGATACTAAGTACCCCGGAGGTTAAATTATCAGAAGAC